AGGCCCACTTTTGAACTGCAATGTGATAGTTGAACATGAAGAGTTCAGGCTCGGAGGTGTCACCCATGAAGCCTCTGGAACCGCTGTTGATGGCCACCTCTGCGTCCGCCGCTGGTGCTGCGACCGCCAGCGCCTGCCTCCGCAGTGCCAGCGGCGTGGTGACGTAGTCGACATCGTCCTCCTCCATCTCCTCGTGGGCGGTCTCCAAGCGGATGCGGACCCCTGTTCTCGATCTGCTGCTTGCTGCCGCAGCCGACAGCGTTGGTCGCGTCGTAGCTCTTGTGGGGCATGGGTTGGCCTGAGTGGTGTCCCTTCCAAGCTGCGATCCTCGTCGCCATCATCAAATGTCCGCGGCGGCGGCCTCTTGCCGCAAAGGCCCGCTCGGGCGGGCAATAATGTCCACCTCGCAAGAGACCGCCGCACATTACTGCCCGCCACCAGCTGCACATACAGTGAACTGAGCGGCGCCCTCCTGGCCCTGGCTCGCCATTCTTCTTGTCTGGGGCAAACCCGAAGGACAGGGGGGCCTGCTGGGGGAGTTGTCGCACCCTGCGGACCTGAAGTACCAGCCTAAATGGACGACGCCTAGGTTCATCAAACCGCTCAAGATGGAGCAATTGCTCTCTGGCGTATGGGTCGGGGACCTGGGGGTCGTCGGCCATGATGAAGGCTGGGCGCGAGCCGACTCCCATGGGCTTCTTCGCATAGTCCGCTGGGGCGCTCAGCCAGGAAGGTGCAGCCGACATCTTGGACATTTCTGACGGGTGCGACCACGGCGGAGACGGAGCGAATTTCCCAATCTTGGTGTGTCTGAGGGCCTTCGCTGCCATCGCAACGTCCACCTGGGCGCGCTTGAGGACCTCGGGGGTCGCGTCGTAGTTGTCGGGGGCTGCATGCTCGTCTGTGTTGCGGAGCGCCTCCAGGTGGCCAGGATCCAAGTTGTGGCGGGGCGGGAGAGGAACCTGATGCCCCGCGAGTCCTCCTTCCAAGGCAGGCTTGGCTAGAAACGATACCCACTCGTCTCCCGTTGGATGACGAGAAGCGTGAGATCGATAGTTCCTGTTCTTGACCCCAATGCCAGTCCGAGCCAAAGAGCGTGCCGGTCTCGGGACCATTGCCATGTCCCGAATCCGCCAGGCCTGCCGAAACTCGGCCTCAGTGCGTTGCTGTCTCTCTCGATTCCGTCGTCGGCGGAGGGAGTGGAGGGCGCTCGTATAGCTGCGAATAGCACTCTTCATAGATCGTGCCAGCGGATCCTGTGAAGACGACTCCAGTCCCGCCGCCGTCGTCTGAGCCAGTAACGCCCTCTTCCGCTTCAGAAGATCTCATTTCTTCGTCTCCAGGTCCATCTCGTGTTGTGGCCGAATGGTAGCTTGAGAAACATGCTTCAGCGCTATCTCCCGAACTGTCGCCATCAGGAGAATGGTGTGGCCTGTCGCCGTCGGCCGTGATTCCAGGATATCCAGGGAGGCCCGTACTTCCAGGAGAGCGTTGTGGACATCCTGTAAAAACTCCCCCCTGCCCTCGCCCGTCAGCACTGCTCCCGGAAGTTCTTTGCGATCCCACCGTGCACGGGGTGGTGCAGTATTTACTGGGGCCACCGATTGGAAATGCATCACAACTGGCACGTGGTCCAACACCGCAGGAATCGCCCGCGTCAGTTCCCCTGTCCGAATCCAGGTCGAGCACCGACGAGCGAGGCCCAGAGCAGCGCGCGGTACGCCATGCAAAGTCCAGCTGCGATCGTGCTCCCTCCATGCCGAAAGAAGTGCTGCCTCTCTGCCATTGTGTGTTGACTGCGGCCGCGCCCGAGGATATCCCACGCGGCGCAGCCAGGGTGGAGGAGGCGCCGAGGCGGGGGAGGAATGAGGAATGCGGACGGGCGTTTGGGAGGAGGAGGACAGCGAGGAGGACGAGGAGGAGGATCCGAGGAGGATCCGAGGAGGAACAGGGGCCAGCTGGGACGCTCTTCGGCCATCTGCACCTGATCCAGGAACTCATAAAACAGCTGCCCACAGAAAGACTCTCGCTCGCTCCCGTGCGGCCCCACGGAGGGATCCTCTGTGCGGTACTGTTTGAGGCCCGAATTGAGGTCCGTGAGGATGACAGGCGTGGCTCTCTGGGGGGCCTCCAGGATCATCTGACGAGCCCAAGACAGTAAATGGCGGCACGTGGATTTCCACTGCTTGGCCTCTCCAGGCTGCGAGGGGCGCGGCGGAACATCTAATGCCAGCACAGACAAGATAAGCGGCCAAGACTCCACTTGGACCAGTCCTCCTCGCCCGCGAAGGGCTGGTGGCGCAGCGACGATGCGTCGGATACTGGTGCGGGGGAAGTATTTCTTTGTCAGGAAAACAGATCACCCGCAAGACTTATTCACCATCGGGGATCGACTCCATCCGAAGTCGACCACATTATGTTTCGCCGCAGTCGTCTTATGAGGCGGTTCTCCGTGCCACGCTCTGATCGCCGTGCCTGGCATTCCAATGATCACCACGCCTCCACGAGCCTCGGACAGATCATCAATCCTCGAGGGCGCCAGCAGATTCTGCGGGTTGTAGACTGCAACGAAGGCCTCCCGACTGTCCGCCGCCGCCGTCATCGCCGCCAGCAGGGTGCTGCCGCCCTGCGCCGCCGTGCAGCGCCACACGGCGCCCAGCGCCGCGAGCCTGAGCACCAGGCGTGCCCGCCAACCCCCGTGGCGGGGGGGGGGCACGCTGGCCGTCATGGCGGCCCCGCGGCTGCCCCCATCGCCCCTGGGATACCTCCTGAAGGACTCGAAGGTCAGAGGGGGGCCAACGCGGGGTCGGAGCCTGGAGGAGGAGGAGCAGGAGGAGGAGGAGCAGGAGGAGGAGGAGGAGGAGGAGGAGGAGGAGGAGGAGGAGGAGGTGGAGGGGGGAGGAGGAGGAGAGGAGGAGGAGGGAGGAGGAGGAGGAGGAGGAGGAGGAGGAGAGGAGGAGGAGGACCTCGTCGCGGTGCCTCGCATTTCTCGGTTGCAGAAGCGCATGATTCGGGCGGTCGGGCGCGGCGTGCTTCCAGGCCCAAGGCTCGAGTTACGACGCTCCTTGGCGTCGCGTTGATGCCGCCCCGCTTTGCCAGACCGCATTTGCACAAATAGGCATAATATGTCTTTCAACGTTTGTTTCATGACCCTTTCTGGAGTAGCAGACCCACGTTGGAATACAAGGTACATCTGGGCCCTGCCCTCCCCGCCTGCGCGGTGGGTGCCGCGGCGCGCTACCTCTGTGGACGACGATCTGTGGAGAGGAAGCATGTTGCCAAGTCCTTTCCCGATGTCTAACGCATGTTTTAAACATGTCTTACATGTGGAAAACCATGCTTTCTACATGCTTAAAACATTTTCCGACATGTTAAGTCGATTATTGTTAATGCAATAATCGGATCGTTATGGTGTCCAAAGCTGCCCTACTGTAGGTTCGCGTCGTGTCGACCGGCGGCGACCCCGCCGCCAGCGTTCAGTTCTGAATGCCGCCGGCGACCCAGAATCGGTCGACGTTGACCGAGCTGACGTTTCGGAGACGCCCAATCCTTCAAAGTTGGACGATCCCCGCAGTGTCAGGAACCAACGCCCCGGTCGACACGACACGAGCCCGCGGTAGGGCCTTGGGCACGGCCTACCCTCTGCTACCCGTGAGCCTTAGGTAGGCCCTGCCCTAGGCTACCCAGGGGCCTTGGGTAGGCCCTATCCCAGGCTACCCTATGCATTGCGTCGGCTCTAGGGTAGCCTCCCCCCGGTTCTGTACCCTCCTCGCCCCCGCGCCCGACGTTGCCCGGATTGGCCGGACAGAGGGACACCGCTCGTCCGCTGTGGAAGGCCCAGGGGTGCCGCCCGCGGCGCCTGGCCTCTCCCCCCGCTCGACGCCGCCTTTTGGCTCGATCTGGTTGGGCAGGGACGACGCTCGTTGTCTGTAAAATACTCAGCGGCAGCGGTGGTGGGTGGATCTGCTCAGCGTCGACCCCCAGACGCCCACTCGGCGCCGGCAGGGGCCCGATGGCCCCGTCCCGTCCAGGAACCCGCGGTCTCGTCGTTGGGGGCCGATCGCCGATTCTTTTTGCGATGTATTTCGACCACGCGCAGGGGGTGGGGTAGGGGGAGAGGGGGAACGCTTCTTAGAAGCACCCTGCTTCGAAAAAGGCGCGGGCCTTGCCTGTAGATGTATTTCCGGCACCTTTTAAGAAACATTCTCCTTCTAAGAAGCCTTCCCCCTTCCCCTACCCCCCTCTGCGCGCCGCCAAGTATCGCCGACTCAAGCTTCATGTTTCCCCCCCGAGCTGGACCCCGGGTGGTTTCCGGGTCACAGCTCGGGCCCAGGGGGCCGTTCGGGACGACGATCCGGTGGTCCCTAGAACGCTCTCGAAGAGGCGCAGCCGCTGGAAGGCATCCTGAGGCTGGAAAACCGCCGAGAACCAAGCGGCCGAAAACCTCGAACCTCAAGCCCGCTTGAGCCGGCCCCCCTCCTTATCGCTGCCACTCGAATATGCGCCCTTCGTCGACGCCAGGCCGAAGCCGCGGGATGGTCCCGCCGGCTCCCGCTGGGCCCCGCCGCCTCCTGGCCGCCCTGGCCGTGGCCAGGGCGGCGCTCGGGGCGCGCGTGACGAATTCTGGTGGCGATGCCGCTGATCCCGGCGACGACTGGCTTTTTGACGAGCCCCTGAAGGAAACGTCTTTCCAGGGAGGTCATCATTGAAAGAACTGGTACTACTCATACTGCTGCCCTTTGATTGCTTCCGCCTTTTTGGGCCTCTTGGGAGGCCCTTGTCGCCACGGCTGGGTTCGCCTCGAAATTCTGGTCAGGGTGCACCCCAGGAGAGGTCCGGGGAGTGGCGGCATCGGTATCTTCTGGTTCCTCCAGGTCATGCTGAGAACCTCATGGATGACGAGGAGGCCTGCGAGTTCAAGAAGACGCACGGCCTGGACCACATGGACCGCTACAGGGTCGAGGTTGACTTCCTGAAGAGGGCGAGGGACGATCCTCTCTGGCGGAGGCTGGTGCCCCAGTACCTGCGCGAGGAGCAGCACGGCGGGCGGCCCTTCTTCGTCATGCGCAGCCTCACCTGCGGCATCGGGAGCCCCGTCATCGCCGACCTCAAGCTGGGCACGCAGTCGTGGAAGCCAGACTTTCACGGCAGGCCTGGGGCCGACGAGGCGAAGCGGACGAAGATGGACTACCTCGACCGCGCCTCCACCACCAAGCAGCTCGGCGTCCGCGCCACCAGCATCCAGATGCCTCCTGACATGGGGAGCAGACAGCGGGCCGCGCTCGGTCTCCCCCCCCTCGTCGGGCTGGAGTGGAGAGGGCGGAGGGAGGGAGGACAGGGCCGACGGGAGGGGAGGGGAGGGGAGGGGAGGGGAGGGGAGGGGAGGGGAGGGAGTGGGAGGGGGATGGGAAAGGTGGAGGGAGGGGGGGGGCCGAAGGGAGGGCAGAGGAGGTAGGGAGGGAGGGGAGGACTGGAGCCTCAAGCCCCTCCTCTTGCTCCCTCGAGCGAAGTTGGGTGGAGGCGCCTCCAGAGGAGTGACGCCTGCATTCGTGTACTGCCCCGCACTCCTCCTCCTCCTCCTCCTCCTCCTCCTTTTCCTCTATCCCCGTGCATGCTTGCTGCCACTGACGGGCACGCTCCAGTCCGCCGCGGGACGGGAGCGGCGGGCGCGTGGGCGGCGGCTGGGGCAGGGAAGCCGAAGAAGCTTGGGCCACCCGCAGGGGCGGAGTTGGAGAGGGAGGAAAAGAACGAGCAGGAGGAGGAGGAGGAGGAGGAGGAGGAGGAGGAGGAGGAGGAGGAGGAGGAGGAGGAGGAGGAGGATTGGAGGAGTAGGAGCGAGGAGCAGGAGGAGGAGGAGGAGGAGGAGGAGGAGGAGGAGGGGAGGAGGAGGTAGGAGGGAGGAGGAGGAGGGGGAGGGGGAGGGGGGTGAGGGGGGAGGGGGGAGGGGGAGGGGGATGGGGGAGGGGGAGGGGGAGGAGGAGCCGCAGAAACTCGGGTCCCGCTCCGCGCGCCGCGGCCTGGGCCCGAGCGGCTGCCCTCCTCTTCGGGGGGGGGGGGGGGCGGCGCGAGAGCCGCGAGGGCGCGAGGGCGCGAAGACGCTCGCGCGCCGCGTGCCTTGGGGCGCGAGGCGCGAAGCCGGGCGGCCCAGAAAGGGCTGCGTGAGCGCAGGCTTCTGGAGGTCCCTCGCGGATGTTCTGGGGATCGGCGCTCGCCCGCGTTTCTTTGTCGGCCCGCCCCGGTGTCCGAACAAGAGTCGCGGCGCCCCGCACTGCCACGCTGGCGAACGGCTCGGCGTGGAACGCCACTGTTTGCCGGCTGCGCAGTGTGAGCACGGATTGCTCAATCGACATGCCAGGCCCAGCCTATGTACGGTCTAAGCTTAGGATGAGTGTACCTGCAGGTCAGTGGCCTGAGCATGACTTAGCGTGACAGAGGCCCCCTTCTTCCTGGCGGCGCCTCGGGCGCCGCCCTCGGCGCCGATCCAAGAGACCCGCGCGGACCTCCGAAAACTTACCGAGTCTTTGAGTCTTTCCGCCAGGGGGCCGAGCGCCGATCCAAGAAGCCCGCGCGGACCTCCGAGAGTTCATACCCGTGTCGTCTTCCTTCCCTTTCCCGTCGTTTCATGCCCGCTTTCCGGAACCGGGCCATGTTAGAGGCCAGCGCTTTTGGTGCGCCAGCCGCCCTTCTTGGGTCGCCTCTGTCGTTGTCCCGATTGTCGTCTGGTCCTCGGGTCACAGCTCGGGTCTCCTTCGGCCGTTCTGGACGATCTGGACACCCCTGGAACGCTCTCGACGATGCGCAGCTGTTGGGAAGCATCCCGCGAGATGAAAACCGCCGACGACTGTGAGAAACATTTGGAAATCAAACAAAAAACAAAGGCACCACCCCACCTACGGCCCTACATGTTGCGCTACGGCTCATCGGGGGCCGTACCGTATACCACTTTGAAAAACTACGCCGGTTTTCCTGGTATACGCTAAGCCCCGTGGGGCCGTAGGTGGAGGGTTTCTCCGAAGGGCTTAGGCAACCCGTCCTCCTCCTCCTCCTCCTCCCTCCTCCTCCCTCCTCCTCCTCCTCCTCTCCTCCTCCTCCTCTCTCTCCTTTCCTCCTCCTCTCCTCCTCCTCTCCCTCCTCCTCTTTTTCTCACTCCCCCTCCATCTCCTCCTCCCCCTCCCCCTCCTCCCCCTCCTCCACCTCCTCCTCCTCGTCCTCCTCCTCCTCCTCGGGTCGCCTATGGCCCGGGGGAAACCGTGCAGCCGTAGGCGGGGTGGTGCCTCTTGTTTTCTGGTCCAAGAAACCTCGAAGCGTCGAACCCCGAGTCCCACCTCGAACAGGGGGCGGGCTCTTTCGTTCGCTCGCTCCTTCCTCTGCCAGGAGGGACACAGAGACATGCGGACACAAACCATCGCCGATTCCCAGGAAAATATGGGAAGATAATGGGAAGTATGGGGGAAGACGCAATTCCAGAAAACATGGGCAATTTTTGGGAATCCTGGGACTTGTGTTTATTTAATTGTGTGTGTGTCCTGCATGGCGGTCCAATTCGCGTTCTGTGCATCCCACTCACGCCCCATTGCCAGCGCAGTGACTCTGCCTAGCCGCCGACGTAAAAACTGTGTGTATGTAGCGTGTGTGCGTGTGTGTGTGTGTGTGTGTGTGTGTGTGTGTGCGTGTGTGTGTGTGTGTGTGTGTGTGTGTGTGTGTGCGTGTGTGTGTGTGCGTGTGTGGTGTGTGTGTGCGCTGTGTGTGTGCGTGTGTGTGTGTGTGTGTGTGTGTGTGTGTGTGTGTGTGTGTGTGTGTGTGTGTGTGTGTGTGTGTGTGTGTGTGTGTGTGCGTGTGTGCGTGTGTGTGTGCGTGTGTGTGTGTGTGTGTGTGTGTGTGTGTGTGTGGGTGTGTGTCCCTGGCCCCCCCACTTGGGGCTGCCGCGCCCGCGCGTCTGCCCCCCGTGCCCCGGACCCCTCGACGTGGCGGGGGGGCCACGCGCCCTCGGACCCGGGCGCCTACCAGCTCGGCGGGCGGGCGGCGGTGAAGCAGGGCCTCGTGAGCGGCGACGACGCCTGGACCTGCGGGGGGGGAGGGGCTCTGCGGCCAGCCCCCCTGGGGGGGAAGCGAGTGACAGGAGGCCTTCGCTCCGGGGGCGTCAGCGAGGGGGTGGCGGTGGCGACAGTCAACCCGCACAGTGAGGATGGGCAGCCTTCCCAAGGGTGCCCTTTTGCATCCTTGCCTCCTCGGTCCATCCTTCGCCGCTTTCGCTTGCCGCGCCCCGCTCGAAAAGCTTCGAAGTGGGCGTCCAAGGCCCGTGCATCCTTATCGCGCATCCTTGCTATACTGGTTGACTGTAGGGGGGGGGTGCATAGTTATCACGGCGGGGGCCATGATATCTCCCCAGATGTCATGGCGCGTCGTCTTATTTCGTTCTGTCCCCGGCCCCCCTCTGGGCCGCGCACATGCCGCTGGCCATGATTTTGCGCCCCCCCCTCTTGGACGCCCCCCTCTTGGCCGCCCTCGACTCTCAGAAGGCTCGGAAGTCTCCTCCCGCCTTCTGAGACGTTTTCGGAGCCTTCCCCGAAGGCGCAGAAGACTTCTCAGAGGGCCGGAGGACTTCTGAGGAGTCCCGCCGCCTTCTGTGAGAAGGTCTTCTCCTTCTCACTTCCGCCCCTCGCTCGCCGTCGAAAGAAGCACATTGACGACCAAGATGTCGCGGGATTTTGTCGACGCCGACCCTGGTCGTGGTCCATGCTGGCTGCCGCCGATTCTCTAGGCCTCCCAGATGGGGTCGGAGTAGATGGGGTCGGAAGATCGCGCCGCATTGCCGATGTATCGCCGATGCGGTTCGATGTGGAGCCCTATTTGCTTGACGCCGAGGTCGCCGATGCATCGCCGACGTCGACGATGCATCGCCAGTGCATCGCCGATGCATCGGTGAGGCGGATCGATCCTCCGACCCCACCTACTCCGACCCCATCCAGGAGGCCTCTCATCTTGTCGACGCTGATCTTGGTCGTGCTCCAAGCTCGCTGCCGCCGATTCGCGAGGGTTGTCCACGATCCGACGCTGGCCAGGGTGGATGGCAACCAAGATCGACACGGCAACCATGATCGCCGCCACGCTTCTGCGTTCAGTCTTGGTCTTGGTCCCCCCTTCTCTTTCCCTCCAGGAAGCGCGGGTCGACCGTCGGGGAGTTCGAGATGCTGCTTAGGGCATACCTTCCAACGCCTGCGCTGAGGACGGGAGCATACATCATCTGAGGAGGAAGAAAGAGCGATACCGCTGCACGTCCTGGATAGCTCTCGCCGCCACGGCTGGACTTCCCTCGACATTTTTTAGGGTCAGAACGCACCACGGGAGAGGTCTGGGGAGTGTCGGCGTCGGTATGTTTTGTGGCACCTCCGAATAAGGTCGTGCAGAAGCCTCCGAAGAGGTCCCGAGACGCCTCTTTGGGATCTCCCCAGAGGCCTCCGTTCGAGGCCTCCGAGAAGGCTTCTGGAATGGCCTCTGCAGGGGCGTCTCCCCGGCTTCTGAAGAGGCACGCCTTGGAGGGCCTCTCCTCCGCCCCGCCCGCGCCGAGGAGCCTTGGGCCCGTGGGGGGAGGAGCTGTCCACCTTGCCCACGGGGGAGGGACCGTCTTGAGGCGACCTCGGGGGCCTCCTCGGACCCGGCTGGGCGCCCCTCGGACCGAAGAGCTGAGCTTGCAGCGTTCGTGCAGGAGCCCTTCGGCTTTGGACGACCTGGGAGGAGGAGAAGGAGGAGGAGGAGGAGGAGGAGGAGGAGGAGGAGGAGCAGGAGGAGCAGGAGGAGGAGGAGGAGGAGGAGGAGGAGGAGGAGGAGGAGGAGGAGGAGGGAGGATGGAGGAGGGAGGAGGGAGGAGGGAGGAGGAGGAGGGAGGAGGGGGAGGAGGAGGACGGAGGAGGAGGAGGAGGAGGGAGGAGGGAGGAGGGAGAGGAGGAGGAGGAGGAGGAGGAGGAGGAGGAGGAGGAGGAGGAGGAGGTTGAGGCTGTGGAGGAGGAGGAGGAGGAGGAGGAGGAGGAGGAGGAGGAGGAGGACGAGGAGGAGTGGGCCTCTTGGGCGATCCTGGCGTTTCTTCCTCTGGATTTGGCAGCCGTGGGGTCTCTCTCGGGCCTTCGCAGGAACCATCGCACGCGGGTCCAGGGCGAAAGTGTCCCCCCCCCCCAGGAGGGGGTATAGACCTTCGGGGCCCAGGCTGGACAGATCGCATCGTCGGACGTCTGGGGCCCGCAGCAAACTTCTCGCCCATGATTCGTGCCGCAGCGACCTTGCTCAAACATGCAGGTTTGGAGCACGTATGTTTTGTATGTTTGGTTCCGTTCGCTGGGTTGGTACCCATCGGCCGCACCCAGGTATCCGAGGGTCATCTCGAATCTCGACAACGGCGTGCGACGGCTTGTCGTCCCCAGGCCCGAGAAGCCCGTGGCACGTGATGGCTGTCGTCGTCGGAGCGCAGAGTGCCGTGGCGTGGGACATCTTATCTACCCAGGCTCCAGGAGGTCGTGGCAAGTACCCATGGCTCGTTGAAAGTAGATGCTTTTGGATCCCCATATTTCCATATTCTTGAGGCGTCTTCCTATTTCAAGTGGGGAGTGTTTTTTTGTCCGTTCCCCTATTTCAAGAGGCGTGCGGAGTCTGGCTTGTCCGAGGACGGGATATATGGCGCACGGGTAGATCGAGAAAGCAAATCGTTCAACGAGACTTGTGTTTTTCCCACCCGTACCCATGAAATCACCCAACATGTGCAAGTCTAAATCTGTGTAGGCACAGCTCGTATGATAAAGGTAAGGAATGCGACTCGTGTGGCAATTGTGTGGCGAATGCAAAGAAATTCTTGACGCTTCGCGTATCCCCATCCAGGCTGACGGACGGGAGGTTCGGCCCGGAGGCCCACACCACTGGCACCTACTCAGCCCGGTGTGACACTTGCCCGACGGGGGCACCCCTGCTGGTGTGGGCCACGACCCACCCCGCACTAGGCTGCTCCCTTTGGAGCCCAGAGCCCGAAGTGCCCGTTGACGACAACACCGGTTTCCCACCGTGGGACCTGATGCCCGCCCTCTGGACCCAGCGAAAGTGGAACGCCAGCTGGGCCTGCAGACGGTGCTTCACGCACATCTGGAACGTGGCCCCGGGCACGCTCGACGACATCCTCGACCAGCAGACCTCGAGCGTCTACCCCACGGCGCCGACCAAGCGGGAAACAGCGACGGAGGTGGACGTAGAGAACACCAACATCGCCGTGTACCTCACCCCAGAGCGCCGACGCTAACGCACCGGACGCCTACACAAAACCGGCGACCCCCGCCGAAGGTTCGCCCCTCCTCTCGCTGGTGACGACCGGACCAACCTTTCCGGGCGGTCGAGCGGCCAAGGCTCCCGGACTCGGGACATCGGGTCCTCGTTCCCCGACATCCCCCCGCCCTCGGGCCCCACCCTACCCACCCATTCCACCTCTGAGCTCTCAGGACAGGACTCCCAGGGCGTCCTCCGCTCATTGGTCAGGTTCTTGCTCGAGTGGAACCCCATTATTTTCGGTCGGTGGGCTGACTACTTTCGGGAGTACGGCGACGGGATCACAGGCGTGAAGACCAACGAGGAGTCCTGGCCTCCCCAGTGTCTGCGCCCCTTCCTGGTCAGCATCTACGGACAGACGATCCCGGATAAGTGCCATCCCCCAGACATCCCATGGGGCAGCCAGCGGGCGGCAGCTGCACGAGTCGTCTCCCGCCTGTCGCAAAACGAGGCGCATGCGAACAAATGGCGGGCACACGTCGCCAGCCTGGAGGAGCAGCGTGGCCTCTGCCCCTTCCGCCACAAGACAAGCACCCTACTGGGATACCTCGTGGACATGGACCCCTCGGCCCTCGCCGATGGCACCATCAACTCCCTGGCGCAGCTGGGCCCGGTTCAGACCGTCACCGATGCAGCAACCGCAGCGAACTCTCCCGCGGCATGCTGGCTGGACAGACGCAGCGATGCAGCAGAGGCCCTCCTCCCAACCAGCAGAACCCTGGAACAGGAGACACAGCCGGGCTACACCCCCAGGCTGGTGCACGAGGCTCCCAGCAACGAGGGAACGAAGGCCAGGCCCCAGCCCCAATCCACCACAGACGAGCAGGACAGCGTCGGGCAAGCCTGCAAGACCGAGTGCGAGCATGCATCGCCGGACGTGGGCGATGACTCAGGAGCCGTAGCCGCAATGGCCGAAGAAATGAGCCCGAGCGCGAGCCCTGAACCTGCCGCTGAGGAGGGCGAGGACGAAGACCCCCTCGACCCCCTAGGCGCACTCTCAGAAGCGCCTCCCAACAGCGCCCCATGGTCGCCCTATGCGCGGACCGTCGACCAGAATGCAGCCATGGAGCTCCAGAGGGCCAAGGATGACACGGGAAAGGCCAGCGCATCGTCCTGGGATCACGTGGGGGCCAGAGCAGACCGCGCGCCCACCTCCGCTCCCTGGTGCCAAGGGCGCGACCGCCCTGTCTCTGAAGACGCCGGGGGCGGGAAAGGACGCGCCGCCAAGTCCCCAAGGTGGAGCCCTGCGCGCACGGAGCCGCGCAAGGAAACCCTGGAAAGACATCAGCGAAGACCAGCAGTACTACGAAGACCTCCACGACCCCAAGGGCGGCGGCCCCGTGTGCAGATGCCCCCTAGCAGCCGCGGACGTGGAAAGGGCGACGCCATTCAGGCCAAACTTGCACGCCTGCAAAAGACACTAGGAGGCGCCTTCAACGCTATATGGCATGCGTGGTCCAAGCGAGCTGCCCAGAATCAGGACATCAAGGGGGGCTATAAGAGCGACTCCCGATTCAACGCACCTGAGACGTGCTCGGACTTCATGAAAGCCTGGGCCCGCGCTGGCTACGACGCGTACTGGATGGATCGTGAGCTCGAACTCGGTATAGACTGGGTCGAAATTCGCCGCGAGCATATGAATTTCTCCGCGCGGTACGACGCCCCCGCGCACGCCCCCCGCCCGCGCACCCGGCGGCCGCGACACGCCGGCTCCCTGGACAAGGTCGTGCGAGCAGCGGCGCAGGATCCCTGGGCAGGCGCCATTGGATCGGCCACCCCCGACCAATGGCGAGGCTGGCAGGGATGGTCCTCATGGGGACGTCGCGACGCCCCGTGGACGGACTCCGAATGGAAAGGAGGGGGCAAGCGGTACTACTCTCCGCGTGAAGACCACCGCGACTCCGAAAAGCGAGGCCGCTGGTGGGCCAAGAGCGACTCCGCAGCCCAAGGTTGACTTGCTCCCGCCATCGGGCTGCGCGCCGTGGCATCCGTACTTCCAGGAACACGCATCGCCACAGGGAGGTCCCTGGGTCTCCCCACCACCTCCCGCTGCCCGTGGCCCCGAATGGGCCCGTCTCACATCGCTGCGCCCGGCCTAGGCCGTGATGCCCGGGGCCGCCCTCCGCTGGGGTAGGGGCTACCCCCCCCATCACCCTGCCGCAGCTTAGCTAGACAGCCTTCGCTGGACAAGTGGCCCACCTGCCACCTTTTCGGGCTCGCCGTCGGGGCCGCCCCCCTCGTGCGCCCGACATCTCACCCTCACTTGCCCTCCTGGGCCACGGCTGGCTCACGTCTGTAGAGGCCTCGGCCACCTGGAAGGTGCTGTCCGAAGATGGCAGTCTGCCTCCGCGGCGCCCGGGACTGGAGATGGGCCGCTTCAGCTACCCCGCCCTCCAGCCTGGTTGCAGTCTCGGGCAAGGCCCAGCCGGGTCTCAGTTTTGACGCGCCGCTGGCGCCGGATTGTGATCAGCCCGCCCCTGGGGCAGGGCGGCCGCGTTGCAAGGGAAGTCAGCCCCGTGCCGTTGCAGTCGCACACCTTACTGGAGCGACGAGGCAGCTGTCAGCGGCTGGCCACCCGCGCTGCCGAAGATGCGGCACCTTGGACCAACTTATCCCTGAGCAGCCCCTGGCTGCGTCCCTGGTGTCCCTGGCGCGCTGGCAGCCGCTGCAAGGCTTGCGCCGCGGGCGGGCCGATGGTGCCTGTCGCATCTGACCCATTGCAGGCTTCGCCTTCCCTGGGCTCGCCCCGCTCTCTTCTCTCAACCCTGAGCAGCGGTTAGCTGCGACCCTGGATCAACTCGGGCCCAGTCCCCACGGGTGCGTCGGCCGCTGCGCCAGCAGCGCTGCCAGACACCGCGTGCCTCAGCGGGCTGCAGCCGGCCCACCCTGGACTGCGCCGATAGAGGGCGGGGAGATCGACGGATC